CTCACACATTTCCTACACTAATTCACTTTGACAAACAATTTTCCTTATTCACACAACCTGCAAGATCTTATCAAAACTCTTAGAAATCGCCACTCGAGCGGCTAATCCATATCTCTGGCTACAGAATCTTTATTATTCATTTGAATACAAAACTGGGTACTATTTATTTCATCACATAAGGACTGCAAAAATAATGCATGCAGAAGAAAACAGCAAATCACAACTTGTTCAGGCACAACAACAACAATGGACCAGAAACTAGACTAGATAGATCATTTACCAGTAATTCTCTGCAACACAGTATTGTTGAATTAGCTCTCTAATGCTTATTATAATAAGTGATGCTGATCACAAGGGTATATGTACACTTCTAGTGACAGATCCGCCTATATGGTCGGGGAGAGTTTTTTCAAGTGGGATGCTCCCACTCTCAAGCGGTCTGGATGGCAATGGGTGAATACCTCTCTGTAACCTTGAAGCCTACTCTCCCATCATGGTCTTCATCTACATCGCTCTCGTCACTGGTATGCGATTCTTCACCTGCCGAATCCAGTCGACACTCCATTACTAACCTATCTTCGGTAGAAAACTCTACCACACCGCTCGAACTACTTGCACCCGTTGTAACACTCTCGTCATAATCTGCACTCTCACTACGATGTTCATCATACATTTCTAGCACGGCTCGCATCTGATCCCAGCGTTTGATAGCTTCCTCGACCTCTTCCAGCTCATGTTCGACGCGCTGGCTCTCATCACCGGATTCTTCACAAGCTTCCAACGACAAAAGCAACGTGTTGCGCAGTGCCTGAAAGAAGGTTCGTTTCCCAAAAGGAAGGAATAAAAGTAAGACAAAGAAACTGGGGCCCGAAGCACTAATCAAAAGGAACTCAATCAATTAGTATCAGTCTACCCTTGGAGGGAAAAAAACCATGACTTGGGGTTGGCCAGATCGTATTCAAAATGCCGCTACGGTTCTGAATGGAAGTAGAATGCGTGGCGCATTCCAAGATTCACACCTTTCTCCTGGCCATTTGACCTTCCTCAGTAACACTCCCACGGAAGGAAATGTGACAAGAAAAAATGAAAATTTTAGTGTGATCAGGAAAGGAATGGAGAAGACTTTTGGTTAAGTTCCCACCAAACTAATCACTAAGCGCTCAGTCCGTTCAAGATGGAAATAGAAAAGAAGTAGAAAAACCCACAATATGCTCAGCGAGGATCTCTCTGGCTAGCTCTAACACTTCCATCAGTTGATTTGGACGCTTCATTTTGATTTCGTTCTTTTTGAAACCATCGTATTTTTTGAAGAGGGCGAAGAATCGTTCATCATGCACGACGACCTGAAAGCGCATCTGGCTACTTTCTCAACAGCTAGTGATAAATAGGGTGAATTGGGTGAAGACAACTGATATAATACGGATACATCGAGGTATCAAACTGACGAATAAATATTGAAAAACAATCAACCTTAAAATATACCTTCATTTTTTGCTTCGGAGTACGGTCTCCGTGACGGATAACAGCCAATACACACCTCAACTCCATCAGTTTCCCTGACGGAGTCGATACGATCGGAGGATCATCTTAACGCACAATTTAGTATTCAAAAAAAACATAAAACTCCCAAATAAGCTGGGACATATCACTCACTAGTGGAAAATATTAACCTTTTCCACTTTGGAATTGGAGATCTTGAATTCTAACGTACGCGCTCGAGAGGAGCTGGGTGAGGAGCGCTAACGGCGATATAAGTTTTTATGCTAAACGTGTGAGATTCGTGATCAGGGTGCCAATTTGCTCAGGGACAAATTTTTAGCTACATGGTGATCTTGACCCAAAGATTGAAAAAAGGGGTCCGAAGGTTAGACGGTTCCACAGAATGTGTTATGAATGCCTTCGTTGAATCCTTGTCGCCCTGATGTTTCCCTGCTAAAAGGATCACAACCGTTCTGCAAAAAAATCGCAGTACTACTCCATTTCCAAAAAGGAATAACTGCTATGAGCACTGCTCAAATTTATCTATTTATCTGTAAAGTAACCGATTTAAACTAAAAATGGTGTAAATTACTAATTGTTCAAGTCAAGGACTCCTCCTATGAAAGATGAAGAAACGAAAAATCATAGTCAAAACGCTCACCTCCCAGACCCAGGTCGAGCAACGGCGGAGGTTCCTGCTCACCAAGCGGCATCTGGTAGGGTATCCGTACACTCATCGTTGTCGCTAGTCGACGCATGATCGTGTTACCGAGGATTTTGGCTGTGTCCTTAAGAGAAGATTCACCTCAAGTTACCCGGTGATAATCATCAAAAGACGTAATGTTTAGGGTAACGAATATGCACTCATTTGAAAGCGTACCGTTGGTCAGCTTCTGATGGAAAATGTAATAAATTTGATATTCACCTCATAATACTTGGTTGATGTCTTCACAAACGAAAAACCATTGACGTCACATAACATATGACTTCCCATATTGCTCGCAAAAAGATCGCGAACTAACACATCGGTTCTGGAAATGGGTTCGTTTAGTAATTGTAGCCATCCATGTGAAAGAAGGACGTCATATACCACTTTGCCTACAATGTTCTTGTTTAGCACGCATATTACCATTTAAGGCAGAGCCTTCCACATCCACTTACAATCATCTGAAAATTCCGGTAAGGAGGGGTAGTGTGGAGCCATCGAACAACCCTGTACAAATTTCACGTCAAAAAGTGGCGGGTAGTTGCTGTAAGGCACGAACTCCGCCCAAGTGGACAGATGTCTTATCTGCTGCCTTGCTCGTCTGCATGCCCTCTCGATGCTTTGTCTGGCGTCTCGCCCGATATCCACATTGAGTCTTGTCCCTTGCCTGGCACCAGTAACCAGCACTGCTTCATTTAAAGCGTTTTTGAAGTTCCTCTCCTTTTTTCTTCACTGGAAAGACAACTGGCACATACCACTTCCTGTCTTCAGGTCCGTTACCCACTAACATTTCGCTGGCTCATCGCGAAGTCTGCCTTTGAGGCCGTGATGACAGTGTTGTTTGCATGCTATTAATCAACAGACAAGAACCATCCCACTGCATTCCGTACTAATTGAGCCCCTGAGGCTGAAAAGGAAAAGAAGGAGTAAGAAAATCCACAACAAGGGCTATCCACAATTATTGGTGGTTCTGTTGTGGAAGATCCCCTGTAAAATATTGGAGCGACCACTCGATCCCAGGGGACTCCTTTCTTTCGAAGAGTGAAGTGTTGCTTAAACACCTTCTGGTTTTCCCGAGAACAAAAGACAATCAAACTTACACCAAAGGCCAATACAACTCGTCGAGCGATCATCTTCTCCTTGTGGCTGAGTATCACCGGATAACGAACTTCTTTTCCATCCGCATCTCGCTCAACTTTTCCGTCAAGGCCAGGTGCTTTCCGAGCTTCAGCATGAGCATAGTATGGACCAACGGCGTACACCTAAAATGCTGCATTCGTTTCAAAACTTAGAAATCAGCAAGGATCCTGAGAAAAAAAAACGATGAAAACCTTGTCCTACCTTGACATCTGTGCCATCTGCTGGGATGAAATCCTCATAGATGTAGGAGCCATCTTTCCGCACTTCACTCACCGGCGAGTACCAGCTACTTCGATTATTGATCTGAAATCACATCATTAAGTTCAGCTTGAAACCAGACTCATCAGGAAGCGTTGAAATATGGCCCCATCTGGGGAAAGCAGAATGGGAACTTTGTTATCTGTTAGTTGCAGTGATTTCCCAAAAATGTAAGTGGACAGGACATACGCAGTAGTGGTAGATTTGAAAGCTCGACAAGGTCTGTTCTCCCTCTCGCACCCTTTACATTCTTCACAAAACTTCCTCTATCTCTTGGCCCTGACAGGGAGGGGCTGGTCTTTCAGGCCGTGGAGCCCATTTTCAAAGTTTGTTGCAGGTTGTTGAGGTTTTGTGGGAGCAATAAAAGCTGTTACTCTTTTTTGCTGCGCACTGCTGGGAAGGTCAGGGAAAAACGATCAATAGGGTGATGACTCGAAGCTCCTCGGTGACAAAATTTTACATTCTGCAACATTCATTTTCTAGCGTTAGTGTACGTCTGAACCTTTCGTCTGAACGAAAACGTTCAAAAACACCTACTTTTTTTGGAAGCAGAAAAGCTTCCTATCGCCAAAATCGCCGTCAACTCCTACATCTTTTTCTCGCCCCTTCTTGCCACTCCAGGAAGCGCGCAGCGAAAATGCGCACACACAACCCCCTCCCCTGAATAACCTCTACACCACAAACCGCTTTTAAAACGAGCTCCACGACCTGAAAGACATCTGTTGAGAGCAAATTCCTTTTCTAGCTCATCAAGATGTATATAAGTGCGAATATAAACAAAACACTGGATGCCCTTGTCAAGTGTGAAACTAAAAACCTACGATCTGGTATAGTACCGGCCTAATGACTAATAAGTACTCTCTGAATATAAAACTTTTTCTCAGATATGATCACCTGCCAAGTGACAAATTTCTGCAACCAATTACTTGAGGGTCACTGCAAACGGCTTAGTTAGCGTACCAATACACACCCCATTCAGAAGATGCCTTTGAGTACAGAAATAGATCGATATAATTTTGATAAAAAACATCTTCGAAACGAGCATGCACCAAAAATTGTTAACGAAGAGGAAAAACAAGACGGATGGCAAAGGGGCATTGAAGCATCACAGAACTCCAATCGACAGAGTTCGCTTTGAACTTCTTCAATCTTCGTTAGAAAAAGGACACTCTATATTCGTAAGATACTTACATGCGCTGATTTCACCAATTTCCCGTTAACTGTTACAGTACCCTAAAGGAACTACTGTATTGCACACAAAAAAGGGGAATGAACACCCACAAACTAAACATCGTCGAACTCCAAAAAAAATATGCAATTTAGTTTGTTTCCTTAATATATCATCGGATCGAAATAACCGCTAGTTACCTTTCGAAACAGTCGCTGTGAACCTCCACCGACTGAACTCGGATAGTAGATGTAGATATTGTGGTCCTCAGCTGAGACAGGTTTCTCGACGAACGGTTTATTGAACACCATGCCATTCACTTCGATATGATCATTGTGCTCCACCAGTACTCCGTCTGAAAGATTACACCAATTCATACATTCACTACAATAAGAAACAAGAAAAGTGGGTTGCGGGCCTGTGGTAGAAAAGCGCATGAACAGGGTTAGCTCCCTACTTGAGGCTTTCAGGCCAACAAAGCGTTCCGAACCACCGGCGGCGGGTAAACAGTAAAACGCTTCTCTGAGAAGATAAATCACTGCTGCACATCGGTTGCTCATAGTATGGACCAAGTCGCCTTCGCAATGCTACTATGATTCCGAATGTGAGTGGGATGCATGGCGCATCCCTAAAGCGATCGACCAACGTCCGTAAGTAGGTCTATCCCTTTCACCACCTGAGAGAAGTAGATCAGCGGGCAGATGACCTGTCCTTCTCAGAGAGGTGAAGGGATAAAGCTACGAGCGCTGATCAGGGCACGCCATCGTTGTGATGATCACAACGGGGGGGGGGTCGTATTTGACCGCGAGGGAGGGGGGTCGTATTTGGTCGTTGTTGAGAGAGGGACTGCCAAAGATCTATACAACTACTATTTCCGATAGTTGAAAATGATAGTTAAATCCTGACGACCCCCCCCCCCCCGCTCGACGGAAAATTCTTGGCTGAAAAACTGGAAATTTTTCGGGAAAAATGGAAAAAGTGGTAGGAAGTTGGGAAAATCTAGGAAAGTGGTAGGTAGCAAGGGTAGAGGGGGGGTCGTATTCTTCAGGAAATGATCACGAAGAGATGGCGTGCCCTGGCGCTGATCGATCGCTTTCGGGATGCGCCATGCGTGTTACGCTTAACATGGCAAGGCATTAGTACCACCTCTAGGATCGATTACTGGTCATTTAGCTTGAGGTAAATGCCTACAAGTACGAGCTTTAGGGATTTCGCGTTTTTGCGCGAAACACGAAGGCATGGCACACTCGGACCTCTGACATTCCGCAAAATTCCCATTATTGGTTTTCCAGCTTCATGCTGACTATAAATACATTCCCAAATCTTATTTTCCCACCCAGCTAAACATTGAATTCCTACGAAAATAGGGGAAAAAGAATTCGAGGCGCAGGCGGCAAATTAAATTCTTGTGAACGGCAAGCTCTGGCTCGAATTATCCGTTATTTCGTAATTCAATATTCACTTCCAACGCAAATTTAGACGCTTACGTCATCAAGGAAAAAAATCAAAAAAGTGCAGCTACGAACCTTCCTCGTTCGAGTCGCTTCGCATTAGTACACCGTGACGAGGATGTTCGATGCCTTCCTTTGCCAACGTTCGAAACACTTTCCGACGATCTAACTGAAATTTGAAGTTGGAACATAAGAGTAATTCAAAAAGCTGGAAACCTAAAAAATGAAAATATCCTGAGTAAAACTAACCAAATCGTACTGTCTTTTGAGATCATTGATAACATACGGCTTTCGAAGTTTTACATATTCTATTGCCTAAATATGACGATATGAGTAAAAATAACAAAAAATCGTTGAAATAAAGAGAGAAAACAGCCTCTCTCACAAATAAAATTGCACAAAAACTGTTAGCAAAAACGACTATGGTGGTCAGAAAAGTAAAAATATTAACCCTTGTAATTCAATATGTGACGCCCACCTCATCGTGTAAATAAATGAGTAAAAAAATAACTAATGAACTCTAACCTTGTGTAAAGGAAAATCAGTGGAATGAAACGAGATGAGGCAGTCGCAGAGCGGCCATCGATCAACCTGCTCATGAATTATTACGGACTCGGGGAAAATGAAGTATTCCAACCAATCCTGAAAGCAAATAAATCGGTTTTGTAACTTTCTGTCATTAAAGGACTACGCAATTCTTATTTTGAATTATCTCAACGATTTCTGCCATAATATTGAAGAACTCGAAGATCGACACTCATACATTTTACTACACCAAAACCATTTTATATTGTTTAGGAAAAAATCATTTTATTGGCCCTTCAAAAAAAATATTGGCCCTTCAACAAAATGTTTCAACCTTCCAGCCTCACTTACAAGCAGCCCCGCCCACTACGGTCAGGCCTACTGTGGGGAACTCCGCCCGCTTCCTTCTTCCGAATTTAGTGGAATTAAACATTTTCAACCACATCTGGAACTCATTTCACATTTATAGTCCCGTCCTGTCCGAAAACGGTACCCTTTATGGGGGAAGGGACCCAGCCTCTGGACGAAGTAAAAATCCACTACCACCATGTAGCAGACTGGAAATTTGCTCGATTTCGGAATAAACCAGACATCCTTCTTCCAACCACCAAATCGAGAAAGAGCTTTCAATATGTCAGTCCTTAAGGGTAGGACCCGGGCCGGGAGAGTTTTCCGCGTTTCGTCCTTGAAGAGCGTTCAGTTAGCGGCAGCCAGCCAGTTTTCAGCGTCCACCAAGGTTCTGAGCATTTCGAGTGGCTCAGAAAGTATGGGTATTCGATAAATGACGAAAACGCTGGCGGAAGCCCAAACTTAGCCTCGTACCTATACTTCCCTTGTCGCTCTAAATGCTCAAAACGCTAGTATGAACACACTCTCATTGCACCCAACCGCTTTGCGGCATCTTTCCAAGAAAATGAACTGTATCATTGACGTATCAACGTGGCCTATCATATGCCTAGTATCACTCTTGCTTTACCTAGTAGGAAGAAGCACAGGTGCCTCCCTCCAAGCCGAGCATCGCTCAAAACATATGACCCTCTCGAGCTTAACATCACCCAGAAATATTCAAAAATAGTGGCAATTATTAACTGACAGCCTAGTTGCCACCATTCCACGAGCACCCCTGGCAGTCCACTTGGGCCGTCACCAACAGAATGTACTGCTGCTTCATTCACGTGATGATGCGATAGACTGATGAGCTTGGTGTTAATTAACATACATACAACATGTATCTCATTTCGGAGCTTTCTACGAAGTACGGAAGAACTCATTTGACTCGTACTCTGGTGGATTTATGGAATGACGGCATATGTTAAGTGCTAACGATTGCAGCAACAACAGCAAAAGTTCTTTCACAACGACTTGAAAGACTTCAGCACTAGAATAAGATTTCTCTTCAGCTCATGCTCAACACAGAAAAATACTCCATCTCCATGCTATGCCAGTTCCTCTGAAATACCATCAAAGCGCTTTTAGATGAGCTCATTTTGGCTTTTAACTAATTCTCGTTTGATCCAAGGCCAATCCCCAGGCCTCATAACATCTGCAGAGGAGACACGGGTCCGGGTGAAGCGATTCCATCAGCTGTCTTGATCTGAACCCGCTGGCTGAAACTCAAGACGACACCAACCCGCACGAGTTTGAGTGGGAGTCGGGCACGCCGTTTCGTCTGAATTGTGTAACAGCTGCATGCATCAACAGACATGTGACATGGTCCACTCGCGGAATTTGGAGCACTTTAGCTGATCTCTTCCAAGTCAATACATCTTTATGGAGAAAACTGTTCATCCTTCGACAGTGCACTCATCTCGAATTACTAGTTCTATAAGAAGCGTAAGCAGTAATGGGCATAATTGCCAGAATTATCCGACCAAACTCTTCACCCTCCGGTCATGCTAAATTGGTGTCAGGCTTGCCTGTAGGGACAACCGTGAGTGTATATCACCTGTCTTGCTCCCGCAGTTATGTATAGGACCAAATCGCACAATAAGTCACACCAACCCTGAAAGAAGTAGAGTTGATGGCATTTCTAAAAAGGTAGTGATTAAATGCGGAAGAGTTCAACAGTCTTTACTTTTATCCTCTGCCCATGAGGTGTAGTTTTCCCAGAAAGGCGGTCCAGCGCGCCCGACAAGCTAACCGTTCCCATGCCCACGGTCGGGAATAGCTAGCGGGCGGGCTTTTTTTCGTTTTTCACTACTGGACTACTTACCTCGTCATCAGTTGTTGAGTCACACAGCTCATCATTTTTGATCGGGGGCGTGCCTTGTTAACTCGCATAAGCATATCGCGCGTAGTGTTGAGGAAGAAGAGGAAAAAAGAATAGCAAAACTGATTCGCTCGGGCTGGAATCAAATTTTGCCCTTATTAATTCTGCCTCGCGAACATGTTAAAAAGTGCGAAACCGACGCTAGTAAAAAAAAGCAAGACATTCTCAGGCAACCAACCATCTGAAGTACAAACATAGGAACAACACCATCTAATCCTCAATCGCTTTCTCGCCGATTGATATCATATGGGCTGGGAGATAAAACCACTGAAACCACGGCTGCACCCACAGAGAAATTTTGTATTGGCCACGTATCGGCTAGACTCGCGAGTAATTTCTTGTATAATTCATTACAAATCTAAGATGCCACCATGAATCTGAAAAGGACTAGAATGCTTGTCTGATCCCCTATCCTTCACATGAATACAGCTTATTTCAATATGGTGTTCTTATCCTGAAGGTGCAAAAAGAACTCATTCGCGTTCGTATTTGTAGATAAGTGAAAGAACCACCATGTTTCAATGCTAAAGGATGGCAACACAACAGCAGAAATTTTCAGCGATACCGAATGCCGAAAAAGGGCTGATCAACGCCGAAACTTTTCCTATCGAGCCTAACCCCTTCAATTGAGTTTTTATTGCAGTGAAGACCATTCCTTGCAATAGCCAGACATTCCCCCATTACACATCACCAATTGGCATGTTTGAAATGAAACAGGCAAGCGTCAACTCGTATCAAGTGATTGGATGACTCGGCAGCCACCCGGTCAAATTCCTCGATGCCATTGATCACGAGAGCTCGTAACGACACACACGTGGTACTCGAGGACTCGCTGATCCCTACGACAACATTACGACACCAACGAATGTACGCAGATCCAACATATCCCCTGTAAGCTCAAAGGCATCGCCTCAGTTGAATACGTATAATTAGTGCCTACGCAACAATTCACAATGGGTACGGTGTAACAGAATTGGAATAGTCCCCTCCACCCAGCCATACTAGTTCTTACAGAAAGAAGACCTCGCAGACCATTGTACACAACACCACTGTGTCATCACAGTCCTGCTATCACCACACCCGCGCTGATTGCTCGTTATCACCTGAAGATCAGAGAGTATTTCCAAGACAGACTCATTTCCGCGGAAAGCCTACACCGAAAATCAATTGTCACTACAGTAAAGAAAAAAAAGATCCCTTCCCGGACGCTCCACGCATCCTGTTCCCATTCGTATAGTTGTAGCAGCATTTTGAAGGCGATCTGGCCTACACAACGACCGGTGGGTCCGGCTGATGTCAATGTCGATATGAGTGTTTCCCACAAGTGTCTGGTACTAATCATGAGACATTTGAGAGATGGTTTGGCTGGTCAGACCGGGAGTAGATCCAAGACTTAACCCGGGACTTTGCGGATGAGTACGGGTCGAACCAGCGAGCACGACTTTAGCACGTAATACAGTATTGTCAGTGGGAAAGCAATGACCACTAGCAAAAAGTGACATCTCGACTAAATAATTCCTAAGAATAAACGCAATGTCAAAGCACAAAACTTTTTGTAGCTGAAGCTACTGACTGATCAGAGGCTGTGAAAAAAACGCTGGCACTCTTCGGCTAAGGGGTGGAGGGACATTTTACGCTTCCTCTAGTTCCTTTTGCCAGATCCTGTTGATTTGAACGTCTCACCTTGGCAAGACTTGTTGGCTTTCTAGTATAAATGAAGGTCATGCTTTTGCACAGCTTTACAGGAGTTAACAGGTCTCCACAAGAGGCAGTGATCGACTGGAGCCAACAAAATGCCCGCACCAAGCGAAACTGCCCCTCCTTACACCTACCTAACAATCTTTAGGAATAATAAATTCTACAAAAAATCCAAAAATACATCTCTTACCTTATAATAGTCAACTATTTTCGACATTATAGCCCTCATCGGCTTACTCGTTGCTTTGCGGTTCATTGCACATATTCCTATGCGAATCTGCAAGAAGAACTTTTAGCCTTCGATGGATCTGTCCCCTAAAGATCTCGCGAAAACACTTCGCAATGAGCTTACCTTTTTACCTTGAGATCCACTCTGATATGCCGTGTGTTCATCGCCAGGTGGCGGCGGGCATGGAATGCTCATTACTGAAGGAAGTTATCTACAACAGACCACTGTACCAAGTTCACCAACCAGCACCGCACACTCCTATACAAACGGTCAACGATCGAAAACGTCACGAAATTGGAAGAAAACCGGAAAATCAGAGAAAGACGAGCTGCCGCGATGGATTGAAACGAGATAGAATGACGCCTGGGCAGTTTGATATGCGACGAACAGACTGGCGGCATCTGTGAATAAATTGGCGAAAAAAGCTTAAGCAGATGTATAATAAACATAAAACGAAGAGACAAGTAACTATGGGCACATAACTGGCTGATTCGTTACTTGTGCGTGCTAAATGTAAAGATAGACGATAGGAACCTAGCAAACTCCAATGGAATCCGAATAAATGTCCTACGTGCAGCTCACAAGTCTGATGAAATACTATTTCACAAGCAGGAAGTGCCCTTCGTAGCACTGCTACGAGGGTCACCTGAGCATGTGTGAAATCCGCAGGCGAGGAAGGCATCACGGCTCGCACCCAGCCTACAGCTGCGCGGGCAGAGATCCGGCCCTCCCAGTTCACCCGACACTTAATCAATAGCTCTGCCCTGGCTCGCCTCATCACTATTCATAGTGGAAAACCTCAGACTGAACTCGGACATCAACAACAATAATGGCACCACTGTCCTCTACTATCGCATCCCAATTAATTCCGAAGTTTTTACAGCAGAGCGAAGTAAAAAAAAACAAGCAGGATTGGGGCAGCTCGGAGACGGGGTGGGCATATTGCACTTTTGCTTTTTCCCACTAACGTGTCGAGCTGTACCGGGCTATTTCTTGAGCTTAAGAGTTGACAGGTTTCACCATGGTATCTCGACGAGCTCCAGCTTCACAAGAGTTCACAGGTTTCACCAGTGTGAGACTTGTGAACTGGAACTAGTAAAGTAGCAAAACAGCAAAATGCCCTCCTCCCGTCGCCGCACTGGCCCAAATATGAGCTCAAACTCTTGAATACAATGTTCACTAAGCTGGACACCCTTATCCATACCAGAAGAGGTGCATGCACTTTTAGCGCTCAGCCGGGCCTGGCACGACCACCTTGAATACGCAGCGTAGTACTTCCAAGCACTGAGATTCTACTCCACGGAAAACCTGCACTTGTCTACCATGAATGGAGAGACCTCATCGCGAAGAACCTCCTCTACCCAGCCCAGAAAATCTGAAGCAATTCACTGGAACGCAAGTATTCCACGCCCTCTCTGTGGGGACAAAATAGCGTAATACTGACAGACACAACAACTCCCAATAGTCGCATCTTGTCGAAAACAAACGGCGAGCTATGCACAACAACAGAAAGGGAAAACAGCGAAAAGAAGAGCAAGTGAACTATATATAGCCCGGAGCGGGCGACTCATCAGATAAGCAGTCACAGATCACTTCACTCTAGAAAGGAACAATATTGGTAAATGTTCATAAGTAGAGTAAAAATCACAGGCACTGGGTTCAGTAATTGTCGAAATGGCCTCTATACGGTCCGACAGTGCCGCTCTGACAGCCGTCGTCGCGGAAGGGATCGCTTTATGCGTGCTATCAATGATAACAAGGTGGAGCCACAGCGATGTGTCACTGAGAACCCCATTCTGTCACTGAACAAATCATGCTGTCCTCGCAGCACAAAAAGGCAAAGTTATTCGCGACTCACGAAGGGATGTACTTCGGATTGAACTGAAGTAAAGCCCTTACTTATTGCGGTTCACTCAGTTATTGATAAAATGAAATGAAACAATGAAAGAGTGTCCTGACTTGTTTCATCACCCACTCATTGTTGAGAACCTCAAATATTGAACTTTGATAACGATAGCCGT